AATATTATAATAAATTAATAACCTATAAATAATTATAAATCAGTCTCTTATAATTAAAGTCAAAATTTTTCTAACACTTACTATTAAAATTTTCCTCATAAATTTTAACGATTTATACCAACCAACCATTTTTGAATTCTAAAAATAAAATAAAATACAATGAAATGAGAAGTTTTTGTAAAAAATTATTACTATTAGATACCAATTAATCAAATATTTACTGACATTTATTATTTTATAAGATTTTATTGTCAAATAAGTATTTTACATTATGAAATGAGTAACTTTGACTAGGAAATGAGCAGGTGCTTACTAGGAAATGAGCAGGTGTTTACTATGGAAGAAGTTATGTTTATTTTGAAATGAGTTAAGTTTTTTGAAGAAATTTACAAATTTTTACTAAGAAATTTTGCTCAAAGTACTTTCAAATAGTTACAGAACACCAAAATTACATATAAAATAATTTTGAAGTTGTTTCAACGCGTCTTGCCGTAGTTTTACTTTTAGGACAATTACTAGATTGGGAAAACTCGAATTTTTGAAAAAATTGAGCCCCGGATTTACTATTAAATTAACACGTGATTCCCCCTACCCTTAAATTTCTAGACATAGCTTTTAAATTAATTTAACTAATACGGCCATTACTCTCCATATAAGTGATCAATTCTTCTAATGGGACTAACTCTTTTTTATCTGGCAATAAATTGAATTCTTTAGCAAAAGACATAAAATGTGCAAACAAAGAATTGAAATGTTTTTCTTCTCAAAGATGTAAAATTTGTTCATAATGATGATAATAAATATGTGCAAATACTCTAAAACATTGTTTGAATATTGATCTAACTGTTTGTTGAAAATCTTTGGGAAATTCTCGACCTTTGATTTTATAGGTTTTTAAAAAAGAATCATTAGCATTAAAAATATTATAATTGTCATTATTATCATTATTATTATAAAATATTAAACGAATCTATGAAAATATATGGACATCTATTTTGCTTACCAACTTTTGTTGGGAAAACATTTTCATCGTTGACAAGATTCTGAACCAACGTCATAACATAATCAATGTATGTTGGTGCTGGTAATTTTGTGGTTTTTCTTTGATTTTGATCTGTCCAAGTGTAAGCCTCAACTCTAAAATGAAAATGTCAAAGATGATGAGACAAAGAATATATTTTTTCCCTCCCATAAAAAATTTAATTTTCTTCATAATTACCCAGGTCCTGCGTTCATTGTGGGACAATTCATGGCTGTGCAAAAATCAGTCACAGTTCCATAAAACATATTAAGATAAGTAAAAAATTCGAAAACTATAAAATAATTTATTATGTGAATGAATTCTTTGATTAATATATATTATCTATCATCATCATCATTATTTACATTTATAATTTATAATTTATAAATATTCATACCATTCACAGCCAACCATTCATCCTCTTCAACGTATTTTGGTAAAACCACTATTTTCTTAAAACTTCCTTCAACCAATGATGCATCAATGAATGGTGGTGAAAGAAATAAAGGCCTTGAAATTGGATTATTTCTAAGACGAGTTGTACTTTTCTTATTTTTGCTACGAAAGGTGCATTTATTTATTAATATGATAGTCGGATTATTATTATCATTAAAATAAATATTTATATTTTACTTACCCAAGCCAAAAACTCATTTTTTTTGTTTAAATTGTTAATTGTTATTTTCAAAAAAGAATTTAGAATGTTAAAGAAAAGAAATAATAATAATGCAGTAATAATTAGTATTAGTATATTATATATCGAATCTAGAAGTTGTACAAAGTTCCACGTTTTTTTCCCTATCAACTTAAAAGTAACGTTACATCTAATGTTAATTATGCATACCAAAATAGTCGCTTGTACCTCCTCTCTTGATCTTTTTCTTTTGTAGTATTGGTGTATTAACATGCTCACATCAACCAATCCCTTCTTTCCTTTCTAGAACTTGTTGTAAAACAAAATGATTTTTTGATCACGATCTTGTATTCTTATTGGCCAATTTAACGATCTGCAAAGTAAAAATAGTCAATCGACCAACTTTAAGGAAGATTTTACGAAAACTACAAGGACAACAACCGAATTTTTATTTCACAGATCAATTAGTTGAATTTCAAAGATCATTTTCGTATTAGGAAGTGATACCTTCATAAAAAAGTTTTTTATAACAGAAAAAAAATTTCGGCTATCAATAGCCGAAAAACCGTTTAAGGGATAATAATTGTGATGAATGATAATAATGATAGTAATAATAATGTTACTGGAATTAGGATTTAAAGTTGATTTGTTGCCGAAATACCCTAATTCCGAATCAAATCTTTTATTTCTATTTTTACTTCATTTTTATATCTATATTCCTTATATTATTACATTTTTACTATTATTTGTATTATGTTTTTACTTTTATTCGTATAACGTTGTCGAAATTAGGTAACTTTAAATGCGATATCGCAATTAATTGCTGGATCGCAATGAAGTTGCTACTAATTAATTTAATTGTATATAAGAAGCTCAAATTTGACGTGCTTGTAAAATAACTTTGTAGAAGTTTTGTAATAAAAATTAACTTAATAAATTAGTTTTGACTAAATAAAATGTCTTCTTAAATCACTAAACCAAAATTATTCGCTAATAAAACTAATTCGTTAGTAATAATCATAAATTTATATTGTATCATCAATTAATACGTTCTCCCAAATAATAATTGGTGACAATAATAATGATAATTATAATAATAATAATAATAATCATAATACATTTAGTTAGATTCAAAGGCTATGCGCGTAACGCGTTGTTTGTTCATAAGATAACATTTTCTTATAAAAAGCGCTTCTTTTCCTATTCTTTTTGTAGTTGGTTTACTCAAAACGCGTTTATTGTTCATGAGCCAACATTTTCTTATATAAAGCGCCTATTTATCCTTTTCTTTTTGTAACAATACAATTACAATAAACCCAATCGTCTGCTATGGAGGAAGTTTCAGTTGAAGAGATCTTTAACTTGAGTTTATAGGAGCACAGAGTCTATTGCTAAAAATCGGAACTTTCTTTTCTAAATTTGTTTAGTCATTCATTTTACTAACTTTTTTTTCATTAATTTTATTTAGGATGTCAAGATGCCAAGATCACGGTCTAAACAGAAAACATCAAGAGAGTGTTTAACCTGGTGAGAGACAGGATTTCAGTTTTATAATTAATTTATATTACATTATATAACTTGATTTTCCCAATTTTTTTAAGTCATATTAATATTAGTGCTTATGTCCGGAACATAAATTACTTCAAAAACTGGAGTTTTTTCGTTCAATTACACACTAACACCTATAATTGTCGCGAATATTTCAACGGTTTGGCCCGGGTATTAGAAAATGGAACAAAAATAATAATAATAATTAGAGGATATAATCAAATCGTTTGGTTCAAGGACAACATTGATTATTTATTTTTTTTCTTTTTTTAAAAATAAAAACTATAATTCAAATTCAATTGGTTATTTGCATGCAGTTTTTCATGATTTTAAACCCTTGTAAAAGAAACCCCAAATATTTTCAAATAAGCATGCAATTTTCTTGATTTTAGCCCTTCTTTGTACATAGGCAACCCCGTTAATCCGAATACCCTGTTAAAATGAATAATTTTTAAAACACCAAAGTCAAACATATGTAAATTACCTCGTTAATATGAATGTCACCAATAAAACTTTATAAACCGTAAACCGAAGAAATTTTTAATTTTCTTGAAGCCATTTATATGTAAAATTGCCCCGTTAATCCGAATTTTTTATAAACCGAAGTGAAATAAAAATTGGGCCAATAATAATAATACATCTAAACTCGATAAGTCGGACATTTATTTATATTATAAACAATTGATTGCTGCGTCCGACTTATCGAGTTTAGATGTATATGTGAAAATTGAAATCTTGAACATGTTCACATAGATTTCATTTTCACGCACGACATGTACAAAAATTTAATAACCGGGGTAGACTTTCCCCTAGTGCAAACAAGAGAGGAAAAAAAAATCTACTGAAAAAGAAGTTGGGGCATCAAAAAGAAAACATACGCCTATAACAATCTCACAAAAAATAGAAATATGCATTGAAAAAAATAAAGACCCAAACATAAAAAATAACCAGCTTGCGTCTAAATATAATGTCAGTGAATCTACTGTTTCTGAAATTCTAAAAAAGAGTGATTATTTTTATCATTGAATCTAAATCAATTTACTGCCAGAAAATGGATAAAGGAAATTCTAAATCCTAAATTTTTAAATTTATTACCCCGTTTATCCGAATTAATTTATGACTCTAATAATAACTTCGGATTATAAAAAACCCCATTAATCCGAAGAAAAGTCCTGCACAATTGCCTTCGGTTTAACGGGGTTGCCTGTGTATATAATAATAATAATATTATTTTATTATACAACAAGTTCCGAATTTTGCAATCAATTTTTTATATACGTTATTTTGTTTTCCATTCTTGGATCATCTTTCCAACAAAAAAAAAAGACCATGAATGTCAGTTTCCTTTTGCGGATAGTCTCGCACCAGAAAAAAATCAATTTTCGACGACCATTGTTTATTTCTTTGTAAACAATTTAATTTTTATTTTTAATAAATAACGTTTACCGGAATTGGAATTTGATGCTAATACTAACATAATAATAATTGTTGGCCGAAATATCTTAATTCCGAGTTAAATTATTTTATTATTTTTATTTACTTATTTATTTCGATGTAGCAAATGTGATACATATGTTTGATGGATCAACGGCCACAGAACACCCACCACATTGAAAGTTCATATTCAACAAGTAACTTTTCTTCATAATCCATTGCTCAGTTTCAATGATCATCCCCTAAAATAAATGTTAGTGAGAAAGATTTTACTTGAAACAAGCATGCATGCTATTCCAGATGTACTATATAGGGCTTTTACCCTTAATTTATAACATCTTTTCATGACATTGAGGATTAGAATGAATTCAGCAGCCTCAACAGGAAAAGTCAATTACACCAAGGATGTAAGCTGATATAAACCATCATGATCTAATGAGACTCTCCAAAATTCAATTCTAGTTCCTATTACATAAACATATAATTAGCATATTGCTCATCAGCTTTGATCACTTGCCATTCACAATCACACCGTATGTTTCGTCATGGATTCCAATATCCTGCACATGCTTGGTTTGCAACAACATTGCAATTTTCTGTTGTTTGTGGCTTAGCTTCACCAAACAAAATTTCTTTGTCATGTTTACAAAGCAGGCGAAAACCTTGTTTTTCCCCGTGTACAACACCTTCCCCTTTGCGCATCAAGTCTTGAGTGAAATACTTTCACCATTTGCCCTGAAAATTAAATTTAAAAGCATAAATGGGTTAATTAATAGACTTTACATAAGTATTCGTTATATACAACTTGCATAGTTTCAAGGATGTAAATATTTTCATCCAATAAATTCTTCCATGTGGTAAATTGTAAAAGCCACGTAAGTACCATATTGTTAATATATACAGATAATATTGAGTGTCATAAAATATTCAAAGTCTACTTACAAATTATGTATGATGAGTTGCATTGAATCAAATATCTTTTTGTCTTAAATGCGCATTCCTTGCTCCAATTTTGTTTCCACCAATCTTCCAATTCAGCTATTTCATTATTCATTGAATACTTACAATAAATAAACAGATGTAATTAAACAATGTCTTGAACAATAGTGATTCGCATAGTATGTAAAAAGGCTGGATTATTTATCTGTGTATATGAAGAAACAACATTCTGGACAATCTAAATTTACAAACAATATATGGAAACGATGCCCACCACTTCTCATCAGCATATATTAAATGTAAGTTGGCTTTCCATTTTCCTTAACATCATAATTCTCTGCTGCATTTCTACAAAGTGCCTGGCCCTTTACATTATCCCTAAGCTGAAATCACCTCCAAAGCTTATGGACTCATAAACTGACTCTGTGAGGTGGATTATCTCCATGCAGACAAAGATATTTATTATTAAACAATTGCTTTGCAAAGTTAACCAAACCATTTCTGCTTTATACTAGCAAATAGTATAACACTCTTCTCATTTTTCCATTTCTAACCTTGGGATTCAATATCTTTTCTTGGTAGTAACACCTTTTTCTGAGAATTATAATGTATATGACAGTCTAATACAAAATTTTGGAGATAATCTAAATTATCTTTTTAAAAAATGTGTTTAATTTACAAGAATTAAATTGGGTTCTTTAAATCTAGAGGCTTAGTTAAAGAATATTTATGATGACAAACAAATGGTTGATATGTTAGTTTTGCATAATCATTATTAATGTTAAATAATTATAACAAATGTAAGGAAAGTAGCATGGTTGTCAGAGATCTCTATCTCACATGGAAAACTGCACGCACTTTGATGATTTAGGAACACCAAGAAGCAACTCAATATGCAATGTCTGATTATCAGATGGAAACTTACTTCAAGCTCGAATATTTTAATTATTCTTTTATTCCTCACTAATTGACCTGCGACAATCGATGATACAACAATGCAATTAATTTCAGGGTTGCATGGCTCTGAGGTTTATTGGAAGTTGTTAAAGAGATTGCTAAAGGCTCTCACTTGTCCAAAGTCTACTAATATGTTCGATTT